TTTTATACTGGCTATTCTGTATTTTGCCTGTGACCAATGTCACACTGATAAACTACTATTATCCCATTTATTCTTTTAAAGTGTTAGAACAATACTAGCTTTACCCTCTTTATATTAATGTCTTAGTGTTCCAAGAACTTCTGAATATTAACACTGATAGTGCATACAACTTAACACGCTCATTCAAAACTCTCTAATGCCAGTTTTCTTTTAGTAACTGAAGTTGAACTGTCCTCCCACATTATCATTTGAATAGAAAATAACTCTTCAATACATACAACATAACTATATCAGCTGCCATCTTCCCAAATTCACAGAAGGAATATGTCTGTTTTATTATTCCAAGTTTGTCACTAATTATGGTTAAAGCTGACATCTTCCTCCCTTAATAGAGTCTTCTTGCTATTCACATCATTTTCTGTATTCTAGACTTGAAGAAAACTTTAATTTTCCTCATTTTAACTGTTGACCATATGTATATTTCCCTTATAACCTTTCACTTCCCACAGTAATTTTCTACAATTCCTAGCTTCCAGTGTACATGTATGATACCATATTCCTTCTTCTGCTTCATAGATGTTTTCCTTGTAAATCATCCTGGCTTATCAGCAAATGTATTCCTTAGTTGTGAGATTATGGCTTTCTGTGTATCTGGGCTAACATCCTTAAACAGTTTCATTTATCATTCTCCCATTTAAGATTTAATTCTTTCTCCCAACAGATTTACCTTATAATAGTATTCACCTTTATAAAATCAGCTCGAAGCATTAAGTATATATAGATTATTGGTTTGGACTTAATTCTGTTTGCACATAACAAACATGATCAAATCATTATCAGTTATACATAAACTATGGCTAATTTTTAGCTCTGTGATCAGTTCCTTTTCATCTGACAAGCTGAGGTCTAATATAGAATTCTCTTGTGTTGGATGCAACACTTTACGAGTTAGGAAATTGACATTTAAAATATTTTGAAATTCCAAGTACATTTTAACACTGGCAGCATAAGACCTCCAGCATATGTCACTCAGATTGAAATTTACTGCAGTGTTTTCCCTATATGTTGTAGGTGGGTAAGGCATAGGTCATGCTGCTCTCTAGTGTGATTTGCTATCAGCTAAGTACCCTGTCAACTTCTGACTTATCCGTTAGAACATTGACCCATAAACAGTCAAGATCATTTGCTTCCGATTGCCATCAACTCAGAACAGGTAATGCCATTTTTGAAGTGCTTTCTGTCCACTTGATCTTTCCAAAATAGTTAACAATCGATTTTTAACAATCCGGTTTTCCAGCCAGTTTTAGCAATAAAACCTAGGTGAAATCTGTGCTAAAAAAAATGCCCTCTTCTGCTGGTGTCAAGTTTCCAACAGTACAAGAGAGGCTACTGAAAAATCTCTGCTCTTTGTATTCTTTAGCATCCCAATTATGGTTTCTCTTACGATTTCATTTGCACTTACCAAAAGCTCACTGGTTCCTTCTCACTATTTTTATTTCTATTTCTTATAAGCTCCCAGACTCCCTAGCCAATCAGTCCCTTAGAACAGTTCCTTTGTTACAGCAAATTAAGCAGTAGGCTCTCATCAACAGAAAGTGACAACATTTTCCACAAACCAAAAGCCACCATGTTATGTCATTTACCTAGAGGTTAAGTCTAGTCTTTTCTACTTGCTCTTTTCCGTTGATCGAAAGTGCTGAAGGATGTCAGAGATGAGAGGTCCTGTAAAGAAAAAAGCCTTGCTCACTGCAAAGGTCCATCTATAGTCGGAGACTGCCCACAGACCTCTTTATTAGTCACTGAATTTTTTTTTACTTCCCAGCTTAAAGACCCCCTTAGCTTTGAGAGACGCTCCCGTTTCAGACAAGCTCATCTGAGCTCTAGGAAAGCACACGAACACTTTCCACTAGCTGGAGGACCCACCCGTTAACGCTGTGACCCTCGGGCGGTGCAGATTTCTCCCAGCTTCCACCTTTTTCACCGCCTAAGTGGCCCTTCGCGGCTCCCCTGGCCCGCAGGGCTCCCCCAGGAGGGAACCGCGGGCCCGGTTCCTCACAGCGCCCGAGGGCCGAGGTGCCTCACCCCCGGGGCGGCCTCAAAGGGACGGCGGGGTC